GTATTAAAAATAATTGAATTCTTCAGATGAATTTTATTAAATTTCTTAAATATATCCTTAAAATAATTTACAATAATATTTTGATAGTGATGACGGAAAAAATTTTGAAATACTCATTGTAATAAAAAATGAATGAAAATTGACAATAATTCAACTGTCTTTTCATATATAAGAAATTCGCACTTGAATGACGCGCAAAACGTTAAAACTTTGAAATAAAAGTACGATGGTCTTTTCCAATCCTTTCGCCTCAAGGAGTTTATTTCTTGGAATCGACAGGGTGGAATATATAGTAGAGAGAGAAATAGTTTCGACTCTCGGCTTTCCACAATTCAACAAAACTTTTTTTTTCTGCACATTATTTTTCTCTCTTGAAACTTTTTTTTTTCAGTTTTTAATGAAACATTTATTTTTCTTTTATTTTTATTTTAGAGATTTTATATATACTTTTTTTCTTTGATATGAGTTGTCACATATTTCTTTGATTGAAAGGAAAATTTTTCTTGATTTCAAGAAATATTTTTTAATATTCGAGCAGTGAAAAGTAGTTATTTTGAGATTTTTCTCTTTTAGTGTAGATTAGAAAGAGAGGTTAAAATATGATGAATTTTCCACTCTTTCTAGTATATATATTTATTAGGTCAAAATGAATTTCTGTATTAAATGGAAAATTCTACTAAAAGGTAGCTTTTCACTCTATTCTCGTAAAATTGAAGATTTTATTATTTTTCTTTAAAGAGGAGTTCTTTAATGTTTTCCTTCTTAGATTTAAAAGGATTTATTATTATTTTGAAAATAACATTTTCTTATTTTCAATATTTATTGAGAATATCCACCACAGAGTTGACCTAAATAAAATTTTTTGATGGTTTAAATTCAAAATTATCGAATTTTTATTTTTACTGCGATTTTTGTTGATTACAATTTATCAAATTTATTAAATTATTATTATTATTAAATATTTAAAATTTCTTAAATTTATCAATGTGCAAATATTATTTTAAGTAAATTTTATGTCAGAAGTTTCTTAAATTAAAATTAAATATTTCTTAAATTCAGTGTAAATTTAAAAATCAACTAATTATAAGATAAAATATCAAAATTTGTACTTTCTATTTTTAAATTAGAGAACCGAAATTTTTTTTCTAAATTTTCGTTCGTTTGGATTTTTAGCAATTTTAATTAAATGAAAAATTTAACGTTTAAAGAGTTATAAATGAAAATATTTGCAATATTTGAAATTCCAGCAAATGAAAATTCTCTAGTTTATCGTTTTCACCTTATAGCAGGAAATGAAATTTTTTTACATCGTTTATATATTTTGTGATATTTTGAAATAACTTATTGCTCAGGAAATGGAATTTTTTTACAGTATTTATATATTTTGTGATATTTTGATAATAACTTTTAGCTGAAAATCCTGTGGAGAAAGCTTTGTTTCCCTTTAAACTTTAAACTAAAAAATTTCTAAAAATATTCTAAATAAAATTTCGTCTAAGTATTTAAAAATTAGTACAATTGATTATATTATTTTTTAATAATAATAATAATAATAATAATAATAATAATAATAATAATAATGCGAAAGTTTCATTGTAGATACGTTAATTTTCATTGAATATATAAAAAGATTTAAGAAAAATCGAATAAATTTCATATATTATATAGGTAGTAAATTTTTTCTCTAGAAAAATATTAGAGAAAAATGTGGTTAAAAAAGTTCTCGTCTTCTAAAGAAGTTCAATTTGAAAAAATCACAACTTCCACAATTTTCATTTTATAGCAAAATAAAAATGCACGTGTTTTCTTAATTTTCACATAAAATTCGAAAAAAATGTTGCAAACGAAAAGAAATTTTTAATGAAAGTTTCATCTGGAATGACCCATATAAATATTTTTCTTTTCCATAATGAAACAAATTTATTTGCTTATCAAAGTGAGAAAACAAAAAAGTTTTATGAACTGAGCAACTTGTTTCTTTTTTTTTTTTTAAGGGCAATTTGAAACAAAATGACGTCACAGTTTTAGAATACATGCTTTGCATAAATTGTGACGTCATGATGGTTCGAATTACCTCAATCGATTAATAATTTTTTGAGTAATTAATATCATAAATAATAAAATTTTCACAGGAATTCGATTATTTGAAATCCAATTTTCAAAAAAAAAATTTCGAAAGAAATCAATTATTTTTTTTAACTTTCATAAAATTTGTTTATAAGAATTCAATTATTTTCATAAATAATAAAATTCATCGCTAACATTCAATTATTTTTAATACAATTTTAAATAAATACATTTTTCGAAATAATTGAAATATTCTTTTAAATTTTCATAAAATGATTCAAAAAATATCAATTATTTAAAAAAAATTGACTAACATTAGATTTTTCTTTTAAATTCTCATAAAAATATTTTTAAAAATTCAAAGAAATAATTGAATTATTCTTTTTAGTTTTTACAAAATGATTTAATAGAATATGCAATTATTTAAAAAATTTAATAAAATTCGATGCAAGAATTCAATTATTTTTAATACATAATTTTATATAATTACATTTTTCGAAATAATTGTGATATAAAAAAATTTTTCCCACTTAAGCGAACTGATTTATTAAAAGTCGATAAAACAATTTCACTAATTCATTTAGTGGAATAGATAACTAGCAATTAATAATATTCTACTAATTGAAAAGGGGAAAAATCGTCCATAAAAACTATACTAACAATTCGTAAAATTTTACTTTTTCTGAGTACACTAAGAAAAATTTTTTTTTAAATTAAAAAAATAACTGATTCAAATATACACACTTTAAATTTTTTACTAAAATTTAATTTTAGCAAAGTTTTTTTGAAAATTCTGAAAAATAAGATTTTTGAAATTTTTCAATTCTATTGTTTCAAGATAATTGAATTTTTAGAAACAAATAATTGAAATTTTTTGAAATAATTATAATTTTATTTTTAAAATATAAAGTCTCTCTTAAAGTTTTAAATCAATTTTTTGCTTCTAAAAGTTGTAATGTTATATTATTATTTATTAATATATTAACTATAGTTAAATATTTGATTATTGAAGTTTATTAAAATTGTATTGAAAATAATTGAATTCCTGAGAAAAATTTTATTATTCAAAAAAAATAATTTCATTCTTGGGATGAATTTTAGTATTTTTAAAAATAATTGAATTGTTTCGAAGAATTAATTAAAATTTTAGAAAATAATTGAATTCTTTTGAAAAATTTTATAAAGATAAATTAAGAAAAAAATTAAATTTTTTTGAAAAATTTTATAAAGAATTAAGAAAAAACATTGAATTCTTTCCTGAAATGGAAAATTTCACGAAATTTATTGAAAATAATTGAATTTTTGCAAAGACTTTACTATTTAAAAAAATAATTGAATTGTTTCGAAAGATTTTTAAAAAATTTTAGAAAATAATTGAATTCTTTTAAAAAAATTTATAAAGAAATTACCAAAAAAGAATTCAATTCTTTCCTGAAATTGAGAACTTCACGAAATTTATTGAAAATAATTGAATTTTTGCGAAGATTTTACAATTTAAAAAATAATTGAATTCTTTTGAAAAATTTTATAAAGAATTTAAAAAAAACTGAATTTTTTCCTAAAATGGAAAATTTCACGAAATTTATTAAATTTTTGCAAAGACTTTACTATTTAAAAAAATAATTGAATTGTTTCAAAAGATTTTTAAAAATTTTATAAAATAATTGAATTCTTTTGAAAAAATTTATAAAGCAATTACCAAAAAAGAATTCAATTCTTTCCTGCAATTGAAAACTTCACGAAATTTATTGAAAATAATTGAATTTTTGCGAAGATTTTACTATTTAAAAAAAAGTAATTGAATTGTTTTGAAAAATTTTATAAAGAATTTAAAAAAAACTGAATTTTTCCCTAAAATGGAAAATTTCCCGAAATTTATTAAATTTTTGCAAAGACTTTACTATTTAAAAAAATAATTGAATTCTTTTGAAAAATTTTATAAAGAATTAACAAAAAAAATTGAAAATTTCACGAAATCTATTAAAAATAATTGAATTTTTGCAAAGATTTTACTATTTAAAAAAATATTTTTATTGTTTCGAAAGATTTTTAAAAAGTTTAAAGAAATAATTGAATTCTTTTGAAAAATTATATAAAGAATTAACAAACACAAAAATTGAATTCTTTCCTGAAATTGAAAATTTCACGAAATCTATTGAAAATAATTGAATTTTTGCAAAGATTTTACTATTTAAAAAATTATTTTTATTGTTTCGAAAGATTTTTAAAAAGTTTAAAAAAATAATTGAATTCTTTTGAAAAATTTTATAAAGAATTATAACAAAAAAAATTGAATTCTTACGGTGAAATCGAAAATTTCACGAAATCTATTGAAAATAATTGAATTTTTGCAAAGATTTTACTATTTAAAAAAAAATAATTGAATTGTTTTAAAAGATTTTAAAAAATTTTAGAAAATAATTGAATTCTTTTGAAAAATTTTATAAAGAATTAACAAAAAAAATTGAATTCTTTCCTGAAATTGAAAATTTCACGAAATCTATTGAAAATAATTGAATTTTTACAAAGATTTTACTATTTAAAAAAAAAGTAATTGAATTGTTTTAAAAGATTTTTAAAAATTTTAGAAAATAATTGAATTCTTTTGAAAAATTTTATAAAGAATTAACAAAAAAAAAAATTAATTATTTTCCAAATTTTTAAATCAAATAAATTTAAATTTGATGAGAAAGAAAAAACGGGAAGAATTAGGACAAAGCCAGGAAATAACCGGGAATTTTGTTAAACGAAAATACTAGACACTTTATTATTATGTATTTAATCAATATTATTATGTTTAATTCAAAGATAATTTTTGGTTTATTTAGAGAGTAACATTTAGTAACAAATTTTTTTTTTTTTTATCATCAACTTTTGAATTAATTTTAATAAAGAAATAATAATTTTTAAATAAAAGGAAGAACAGGCATTTATTTTTTCTATTCTAGTCGAAAATGAAATTATCTAAGAAGAATTAACTGTTTCCTGTTCGTTAAAGTATTTAGTGGAGATTCGTGTAAATTTGTCCCTTGATGATGAAGTTAGAGAAAGTTTACATGAGCTATATAGTGTACAGCATCAATTGAGTAAAGTTGAAGAAAGTTGTGGGTCAGTTCTTGATTAGTTATATGTCTTTGACGTGTGTACAGTGGTGGTTGTAAATGAAAATTCATAAAGCTGTCAACCACGCATTGTTCACTGCTAAAGTGATAAGTGATAGAAGTTCCTTTCAGTCAGACAGACGTTGTGCAATATCAAAAGCGCAGGGCAACCGAAACTCCCCGAACGTAAAATACCGAGATCCGGAAGTTAACGAGGACAAGTTGGAAGTTGAACTAGCTTCAGTGGCGGGCTTGCGATAAGCTTAGTCGGAGTGCAAACGTTTCCCGTGGCCCATCTCATCTCCGAAAGAACAAAAAATCACCCCCCTTCTACCCCCCCCCCCAAAAAAAAGTAAAACGTCAAAAAATAAAAACAAAATTCGCGATCGTAAAATTTCACCTGCACTCCAAAGAAAAATCCGCTGCCATCTAATAAATAAAGATAAGACAAAAGAAAAGAAAATTGTTTCCTCAGTATTTTATTTTTTAATAAAAATAAAAGCCATAGATGAAGAAAGTCTAGAAAAAAAATCAGTCCAGAAAAAAATCGAAATAGCTTTAGAAATACTATTTTTTAGAATTAAAAAAAAAAATAAATAAAAGCTCGAGACGCATAAAAGTCACGCGGATCTAGAAACACGTGATGCGAATTTTTTTCCCCCCTTCGAACATTGAAAGTACATAAGCGAAAGGCAATCTTCGGTATTTCGAAATCCATTCTTATTTTTCAAATAATAAAAATAATAAAAATAGTAATAATAGTAATAATAGTAAATAATAAAAATAGTTGAAAATAGAAATAGAAATAGAAATAAAAATTAGATTAATTGCGGAGATATTCTCATCAACTAGAGGAAGTAATATTCTCGTAAACTAGAGGAAGTATAACTTTAGGATAAAACTTATATAGATATATTTTAGTGAGAAAATTTATTAGTTAATTAATGATAGAGAGTAATTAATGATACTTACGAACAAATAAGTAAATTTAACGAGTAGAAATAATAAATGATGCAAAACTGAAATATCTGGGGAAATACAAAATGAATAATGATAAAACTTAGTTTTGATAGTACGTGTGATAAAAAAAAATAAAAAAGAAAAGTATTTTCGATTTGAAACGAACAAAGTTTTTTGATTTGCACATTTTTAATTTTTACGCATAAAAAAGCGGGTAAATGACAATCACTTAAAAGAGTTGAGAATTATTCTTCGGATAAATAAGAAGATACGTTGAGAAACAATAGTCTATGGTGAGTTTTGTTATTGTACAATTTTTGTAGTTTAGAAATTTTTCTTTTTGAATTTTTTACTGATAATTATAAGAAACGTAAATAATTATTTACTAATTAATTATCTAATTAAGCTCAGTTAATTAATTAACATAATTTCTAGCTTATCATCATTATACCTACTAAATATCGAATATTATAATTATTGTCTTAAATTAAATCATTATGAAATTAATACAGAGTTTTTCTAAGGATATCAAAATTGTGACAAAAAAACTTATCAATTTTAATATCCTTTAAAACTTTGTAATTAATTAAAATATTAGTAATAAAAATAGCAATAAAAATATTTCGATTTAAATTTAAATCTCAAAATTAAATTTCAATGAATTTATCATTATGACGTTATTATCATTAAATATTTGATATTTTAAAACGTTTTTACATTGAAAATATTTTCAAATTTTTTATTCATGGTGAACAAATAAATAACAATAAATTAATCAATTTTGAAAAATTGTATTTGAAAATTTTAAAAATCCGGTTTTTTAAAAAATCATAATTAAAATTCTTTAAAAGTTGAATTCCCAAAAAAATTAATTTTTTTAATTGAAAAAATAGAAAATTTTCTCAAATCGTCAACAATTTTGATACGTTTTTTGTCTGAATTTGATAAACTTAGAAAATAACTCGGTAATGAATTAAAATATTAGTAATAAAAATAGCAATAAAAATATTTCGATTTCAATTTAAATCGCAAAAATAAATTTTAATGAATTTATCATCATATGACATTATCATTAAATTTGATATTTTAATTAGTCATTATTTTTATCTTCACTTTATAAATGATAAATATTAATATTAATAATTGAAACATAAAATTAGTAAATGTTTTGTAATAAAAAAGCCTAAATTCGTTATTTGGCTTCATATTTATAATTAAATCAGTAATTTCATTAATTTTATTGATTAGGTTAAAAATTAGTGAATGATAAATAATATGAAACAACATAATCATATTTATAGGCTTTTGTATTGCAAAATTATTGAAAAAACGATTTCATTATAAAGCGAATATTAAAAATAGTAAAGTATCAACTAAATTTATAATAAAATAAAATTTTAATATTTTATTATATTTTATTATATATTTAATGATAATCGAGATATTCTGTCCTCTCGAGAATTTAGGGCTTTTTGATTTCAGATTGTTTTACAGCTCAAATTTTCATGTCATAAAAGTTTGACTATTAATTTGTAAATAGAGTGTTTAGAGTTTTAGTGAAATTAATTCTCCTAGAATACAATTTAATTCTCGTGCAAATTTTTGATAAGAATTGCTTTGAAAAAGAATTTCAGTTAAAATTTTAGAAAATATTTGAAGAATTCGAAAAATTGCAAAACCAATTTTTATAATTAATAATTAATTAATTTTTAATAATTAATTTTCAAAAGAAGGTTTTACATTGAAAGTATTTGGAAACTTTTATTTCTGATGGACAAGTGAATAAAAATACAAATATTTATTAAACAAAAATTAATCAATTTTGAAAGTTTTATTAAGAATTTTTGACAAAATGTAAAAAGAAAGTAATTAAAATGTTTTGACAATATAGTTGAATTCCTGAAAAGTAATTTTAAAAAATTGAAAAAAGTAGGAAATTTTCTCAAAAATGTTAACAAAATAGATTTTATATTTCACAGAATTTTATTTTCTCACTTAAAAATTTTTTTAAACATTGTATTTTTTTAAGAATTGTAACTAAAATTTTGGAAAATAATTAAATCTTACAAATATTTGTTTTAAAAAATTAATCAATTTTGAAAATTTAATTTAGAAATTTTGAAAAAAATGCGGTTTTTAAAAAATTGAAATTAAAATTTTTTAAAAACAGTTGAATGCGCGGAAATAATTTTAAAAAATTGAAAAAATAGGAAATTTTCTCAAATTTCAAAATAAAATAAATTTTATATTTCACAGAATTTTATTTTCTTACTTAAAAAAAATATTTTTAAATATTATATTTTTTGAAGAATTGTAACCAAAATTTTGGAAAACAATTAAATTTTACAAAAATTATTGTATTTAAATAATTCAATTATCGTTGAATTCTATAGTAATAATTTGATTTAGAAAAAAAATTCAGTTAAACTTTTAGAAAATATTTGAAGATTTGGAAGAATTTGTTGGAGTTCTAATTTTTAGAAATAATTAAATTTGAAAAGGTTTTACATTGAAAGTATTTTGAAATTTTAATTCCTGATGGACAAATAAATAACAATAAGTATAAAAATATTTCTTAAATTAATCAATTTTGCAAAATTTTATGTAAAAATTTTGAAGAAATCGTTTTTTTAAAGAATCATAAAATTAAAATTCTTTGAAGATAGTTGAATTCCCGAAAATAATATAAAAAATTTGGAAAAAGTAGTAAATTTCCTCAAATTTCATTTAAATAAATTTTTTTATTTTAAAGGATTTTGTTTTCTTATACACTTTAAAAAATTATTTTTAAATATTCTTGTATTTTTTCAAGGAATTGTAACAAAAAATTTGGAAAATAATTAAATATTGTCACAAAAGAATTTTGAAAATAATTATAAATTTTCCAAAATTTTTGTATTTGAATAATTAAATTATCGGTGAATTCTAGTAAAAATTGATTAAAAAAAAAGGAATTTCAGTTAAAGTTTTGAAAAATAATTGAATAGTAGAATTTTAAGAAATAATTAAATTTCAAAAGGTTTTTAAATATTCTTTTTAACAGTTTAATCACCGTAAAAGTATAATAACATCTGAATGATTATTTAAAAAAATTATATTAAAAAAATTAATTAAAAAAATTATTTAAAAAATTATTAAAGTTTTGAATAAATTTTATTTAAAAATTCTAAAAAAATAATTGGCTTTTGGAAAAATTCCAGTTTTACTTTTTAGAAAATTAATTAAATTTCAAAAGGTTTAACATTGAAATTCTGCTAGTTAATAGAAAAATAAAAAAATCAATATTAATTATATATAGCAATTGACATTATCAAAATTGTCATGTCAAGTGGATAGAGGAAAACTGAAATAGGTCTAGATAATTATTATTGTCTACAAATATAATATAAATATACAAATATATATATATAAGCGATAGATGTTAATTATTATCTGCTCTATGCACGCATTTATCATAACAATTTTGTCATTTTATTCAAATGTCAAGTTGACCCCTTTATAACTTTTGTAAAATGTCAGAGCAATTGGTTCGCACTGAAATTATGAAATATGCTTTTTAAATATGTATATATCAAGAAATATTATTTATTTTCTATGCACAACAAGTACACAACGTCAAATTAATTGACGAGGCAATTATAACTTTACTTTTACATTTAATTATAATAATTATTGATGGGGAAGACAAATATTTGTCTCATGGAAAATTAATAGTAATAATCGTAATACCTAATTTACTAAAACTGATAATAATTGTAATTATGATAACAATATTAATAATAATTATAAGAATCATTATTGTAATTTTGACGAATCTTATTATGGAATTGATTTCTTATTTATAATTTTTTCTTAATAAAAAACTACTAAAATTTGTGTAAATTTACCGGCCCTCTAAAGGTTAATAATTATATTTCTAATAAAAATACTATAACAATAACAATAATAATAGTATAAAAAAATAATAATACTAATAATAACAATAAGAAACAATAATTTAACAATTTTGTAAACCCGTTTATAATTTAAATAAAAATAAAATAATAATAGTCATAACAAAAAATGACAATAATTAATAATTATAATAATTATAATAATTATGGTAATATTGGTAATAATAGAATGGTAATAACAATAATTACGGTTAAATTGACGTATAAAGGAGATTTCGAAGGTCCTTCGAAAGGGTAATACAATGGATTAAATTAATATTACTGATAATAACAATAATAATAGTTACACAAATGATTTAGAAATTTTTTTGAAAAACAGTTTTTCTAATTTATACTAAAAATTATAGTTATATTGATAAATTGAGTCATTTATAGAATAAATAAATGTTTATTTATATTATAAATAAAAAATGAAGAATTGAGGGATCGTAAAAAAACAACTAACGGAACATAAAAATCTACTCGATATAGAAGTAAAGGGCAGCGTTTTCTTTTTTCCTGTTTATCTTCCCTATAAAAGGAAATAGAAAGTTAGTAAATGAAAGCTAATACTTGAAATGTTTTTTCTGACCTAAAGTCTAATCGAAAAGCTTTTTCAGTAACATTGGGCCGAAAAACACGAGGAAATTGCAAGTAAACATTTAACTATTAAAAGAACAAAAAAAAAAAGTAAATCTTGTTTGCAAGTTTGTAGGATATTTAATGTTTTTTTTTTTTTTTAATTGTAAATATTTCATTTTTTTATTCAATTTAAAGAGAATTATAAATAGTGGACATTTTTTTTTTAAATTATAAAATCGTCGCACAAAAGAAGTATTTTCGAGTAAAATTTTCAACTTTTTTCTGGATAAAAATTAAAATGTTTCGAATAAAATAATTTTTTGTATTTATTTTACTTTCTAAATTTAAATTGATAAAAATGATTATTAATTTGAATTCACAGTTTTTCTAAGGATATCAAATATTGAGACAAAAAACATATCAAAATTGTTACCAATTTTGATATGTTTTTTGTCTCAATATTTGATATCCTTAGAAATTGTCGACAATTTTAATACGTTTTTTGTCTCAATTTGATATCCTTAGAAATTGTCAATAATTTTGATACGTTTTTTGTCTCAATTTGATATATCCTTAAAAAATCTGTGTTGATCACTATTTTTTTCACTTTGAATTATAGTAAATTTGACTAATATAATTTAGTGGAAATAAATATTTATTTGTAAAATTTACTAATTCAAATTTAGAGAGTAATTATTATTATTAATTATCATTATTATTATTATTATTGATTACTATTATTAAATAATAATTATTAATTACATGAAATATAATTACAT